CCCTGGCTGCCGGTGATGGGCACGGGCTTGTCCGAGGGGCAGGAGGCCTGCAGGCCGGGACCCTGGGAGAAGCCTCCCTCAGAGGTGCTGCTCCCTCGGTGACACCTGAAAACGCTGTTTGGTACTTGAGGCCTGTACCTGAGCTTGGGCTTCAGGTGAACCCAAATTCGTCCCTAACTTACCCGAGGAGTAACACTTGCGTTAGGCAAGCACCTTAGAGTTACGAGTGAGGACAGAAGTCCTGGCAGTGACCCTCTGTTTTCTGGTCTCTTCTCCGGCAACACCCGGTCGCCAGATCCTACCCTGAAGCTGGTGCAGGACAACCCCTGTCTGACAGAGTTCATCACCTGCGTGCTGGCACTGCCAGAGCCCAGCCCGAGCATCCTCTCCTTTACTCTGCGCTTAGCTGGGATACTCGCCGCTTCTGAAAACCGCTTCCAACACCTGCAGGTGAGTAGGCTACCCAGGTACCTACTGCCACAGGTCTGTCCACTCCTTCTGTATGGAGAACACCTGAAAAAATATGTATTCTGCTTCTACAATTTCTGGCTGTTGTGGTTTTAACCCGGCAGGTAGCTGAAACAACCACATAGCTATTTGAATCCAGCAGATAGCTAAAACAACCACACAGCTGTTTGCTCACCCTCCCCCTGTGCAGCGGGATGGGGGAGAGAATCAGGGAAAAAAAGGTAGACCGTGTCGGTTGAGATAAAGACAGTTTAATAGGACGGGAAAAAAAGAATAATGATAATAATAATAATGATAAAAGAATATACAAGACAATAACGCACAGCACAGAGCCGCGGCCCCTCCGTGGGCAACTCCCTCAGTTTATATACTGGGCATGACGTCATATGGTATGGAATATCCCTTTGGCCAGCCTGGGTCAGCTGCCCTGGCTGTGTGTCCCCCCAGCTTCCTGTGCACCCCCTGCCTTCTCGCTAGCAGGCCAGAGCATGGGAAGCTGAAAAGTCCTTGACGGCTTAGCAACAACTAAAAACACCAGTATGTTATAAACATTATTTTCATCCCATATCCAAAACACGGCACTATACCAGCTATTAGGAAGAAAATTAACTATCCCAGCCAAAACCAGGACACTGGCATACATCAAACAACTCAGCAAACAGTGACATGATAATGAAGACCTACAATCATACCATTCATTTTCAGTTCTCATGTACAGCTGCTGTCTTTTTAGTTCTGTCTTGCCACAGTAGCACTATGAATGCTAATACATAGTGCTTTTCATTTTCGGTTCAAAACAGTATATGAGATAACACAGTCTCATAGCAGTCATTGCAAAATACTGTATCCCTGGACAGATCCTGTTGATGTAAACTGCAATAACGGATGTGGTTTTCCCTCCTTAGAACGTTGACAGGAAGTCTCTGATTCCCTGCAGAAATGAGGGAGCTTTTTAAAACCCTGCTTTCTACAATAGAATACATTTATAGTACAAAACTTAAAACCCAAACGGCTTTGAGGGAAGAGATGCATACAAATGCATAAAGCATTCTAATGGAACTGATGTATACGTAAGTTGTCCCTAGCGTCTTAAAAACAAGCAGTTTTGGTTTTGAACACCTTTATTGCCTAGTCCATGAAAGAGACGGATGTTGAGTTTAAGCATGGGAATCAGAAAATTTTCTATTTTATTGATACTTCTAGCAAGAGGAGGTTTCACTACAGGATTGATACTCTTGACTTGGATGACAGAGCAGCCTCTCCACTCCCCTTGAGCCCCTTTGCTTACTATTCACTCTGTGTGTTCTCCTCTGGCCTCAGCAGGAGAAGCTGTTGGCCAGGCTCTTTGGCAGGGATGGGCCTCTGACGAGCGCAGTGTGGGAAGATGCATCTGTGCGAAGTGGCTGGGTGGAGGGTGTGCACAGCATGATGCATCCCCAGCCTGCCCTCCACTTCCTCTGCAATGGTGGTGAGTACTTCTAGGACTGGGAACTCCCCAAATTCTCTGCATCTCTTCCATTCCAGTCTGTTGCTCAGATGTCAAATGAGAGAGACAGGAGTTTTCATTTATTTGGGGTAAAAGTAAGCCATTTGTCAAAAACAGTGAAGTCACTGAAATACGGTGGTTTTTTTGTTAAATTAATCATGAATTTTTTTTAATTTTTTTTTTTTCCCAAACACTGAAGACTGTGCCCTTTTTAGAGGGGAAGAGGGCACATCTTATGAAACACATGATAAAAATAGCTTATATATAATAATAATAATAGCTTATAGCCTTCTGTATTCTTATCTGTAATTCTTACTACAAGGTACATTTCAGCACGATTTTAGTAGTGTAGAAAAACTAACCAGGGGCTCATTTATCTCTTAATACATTTGCAGTCCCATTATTGCTTTGCAAGTATGTAAGTTCTGCTGTTTACACCAACTTTAGATCCCATGTACAGAGGGGCCTAAAAGACTGGATTGCAGCATGTGCATGTCCATGTGATGGAAAAGTAGTACTGTTGCTGGCATTCATGTTTTTCTTACTGGTTGTGTCCAGGCTCCTTCCATAAATACACAGTGAGTGTGCTGTCAACTCTCCTAATATTACTAAAGTTCTATTGAAGTCCTCTTCTGTTCCTGAGTTATTAAAACACCTGAAGATCTGAAAACAATTTGACTTTCTTCTTTTGTTTGCTGTTTGTTTACTTCTTTCTTGTTAAGGACTGGATGACTTTGAAATGTCATAGAGACTACAAAATAAAGTATAAAAAACCCTGCCAACACCATTATAAAGCTGTGTGGTACTTGAATTAGAATAATATATGGTTGGAGTGCAACAAGGCTCCACCTCACAATAGGAAGGCTGTTGTTTTTACCTCCAGTGACTTGTTTTGTTTTCACACAGGAGGCATAGATGTGATCTTCACTCTGCAAGGGGATCCCAGCCTGTTTGTGGCTTCAGCTGCCAGTCAGCTTCTGGTGCACATGCTCACCCTCTCTGTAGAGTCTGAAACGACTAAACCTGTCAGTACAAAGGACTGTGACTGGCCAGCGTGTGCCCAAATGATTATAAAGCGTATAGAAGATTCCCTTCAGTCCAGCTCTGCCTCTCACATCGAGCAGTCATTAAAACTGTTAACTAGCTTGTTTGGCAGTTGTCGTGCTACGTGGACTGAAGTACTTTGGTTAGGCATAGCAAAGCAAATAGAATCCTTTTTGACGGAAGAGACTGTTCAAGCAGAGCACATGCTGGCGAATCTTTTGCTTAACATGGCATGGTAAAGATCTTCTGGGACCTTGGATCCAGTGATGAAATATATCTGTTTTCCACCATCTAACAGGACATATTACTTACACTTCTTTCTTCTCAGGTCCCCTGTGTTTTGTGACAGTGAAGGCAGTTTTTGGACATTAGTGACTTCTGCTCTGGAACACTTAACCCCAGTACAAGTGGGTCCTTTGGCAGTGGGAATTCTGAGGCTCTACAAATGGTAGGACTTACTGCCATAAAATTTTTGCACTCTGCAAATGTTTCTGTACTAGTATCTCAGGTGTCTTTCCAAGAACTGTTTTTTTCCTCACTGCGTTTTCCACTACATTCCTTAATATGTAAGACTGGTTGGCAAGAACCATACAGTTTCAAAGAGAGAGAGCTGAAAGGAGCCAATATCATGTTTTAGGTGTATACACTTGCATCTTATGTACAGCCAGCCAGTTTCAGGAGGAAGCAGCAAATTTCTTTAATTTTATACTGCTAAGGTTGATTAAGATGGATACAGTCTGACTGCCTGTCAAATCCAATAGTCTCTGTTCAGTTTCCTCTTTCACAAAAACACTGACTAGTGTAAGAGCTTTCACTGCTGTTCAGCAGAAGTGTGCATCTGGAGACTGTCAATAGTTGTAGAATAAGTTAGCTCAGAAGGAACTTGTAGAGGTGATACAATTCAACCTCTTGCTCAGTGCAGGGCTAACTTCAAAGATAGATCAGGTTGCTCAAGGCCTTCACCATTCAAGTTTCAAATATCTCCAATGGTGAGGTTTCCACAGCTTCTTTAGGCAATCTATTCTAGTGCTTAACCACTTTCATTTCATGATGAAAATTATTTTCTGTATATTCAGTTGGAATCTACCCTGTTCCAAATTAAGATTCTTGTCTTGTGCACCTCTGAGAAGTCTGCCTGCATCTTCTCCATAATTGCCCTTTAGGTAGTGAAAAAGCACGAAGAAATCATCAGATGTTAAATGAATACAGCACATATGAATACTGATTTACAGGCTAAGTAACACCTGTGTCTTAAGATATAAGGACACCATTTTGTTGACAAGAAATGCCTCTCTCTAAACTCCCTTCTTACACAGAATCCCACTCTATATGCATAGCTTGATAAAGCTGCTTATAAATTCCAGAGCTATTTCTCTTCTGCTTCCAGTTAGCCAGGGGAGCTCGAAAGAAGGCTTGAATTGTGATAGTACTGTCATTGCTGGCTTGTTTAAAAGCCTGCATGAAAAAAATGATTCGGCTCAGCATTTGGGGGCAGGTGTTTGGGAAGGAATTTAAGTGTTCTTGTTTTGGTAACTGCTGTTTCCTCCTTGAAGCCCACAAGATGTGAGGATTCAGGCACTGACTGTTCTACTTCAGCCAATGGACTGTATTTTGAGAGCAGCCTCCCAGCCTCTGGAATATGCAGGTACAGTTGTGATAGAAAAATTAGAGGCTAGTCTGCTTGCCAGTGTTTTAAGTGTCTGGTGCAGACAAAACTGGAGGAAGAAGAGTAGAAGAAGTCAAGAACAGTAGCAGTGTTTGTGGTGAAGTGCAGCATCCTGCTGTCAGTTGCATTTGAAAGGATATTCATACTGCATCACCTGAAAATCTTGATTAACTTTAAAAACCACAGTCCTTTGTACTCACTAACAACCTAAGCTCTTCCCTCCTTTGGTTCTCTAGGTTTGCTGGATGTGTCTGTTAGTGATCCCGCCACTGTTGAAAGTCTTCTGTCCTCCAAGTCATCTTGTATTAGTCTTCTGTGTCAGACCCTTGCTCATCTGGAGGAGCTGCTGTCTCTGGTAACGTTCAGGGAAGGAAAAAAGCCTGGGGATCAAACTGGTCCTTGAAAGACAGCGTTAAGACTGTTTGCAAACTTTTGCAATAGAGCTTAACAGAACATGGAGGGGAGTTGACAGTGAGGACTTTCATATATTAAAGAAATCTAGCACAGTAGACTCCAAACAGGAAGACAGAGGAATAGTGAGGCTTGTAAAGAGGGACTGCACTTAATTTTAAATCCATCTTCACAAGCTTTATTACCATACCTTACTACTTCTGCAATTATTGATCCAGTGAAAAAACAAATTGAACTGCTTTCCCAAGCAGTGAGAAGAATCTCCTTCCATCTGTGCAATAGTTCTTGGGAGAGATGAAGATAATTTGTTAATTTGTTTGTAGTTGTTAGCATTATGGTACCTTAAGAACATGCTAGATATCGCAATTTTTGCTGCCTCTTGACCAAAAACTCCTGCTCTGTATGCATGCTTGAGACTTTTGCAGGAAACTTTTTTTCTTTCTCCCATTCCACTAGATTCGTTTGCCAGTGGATTTGCCCTATACATCTTTGCTACGCTCTCTCATGACAATATTACAATTCTGCAATGGCTTCCTGAGTCCAGCTTCTCCTCTGGGAAGGACAATAAGCAGAATCTTGATCAATTGCTTCAGAGTACAAAGGTCAGCTCTTGATGTCCTAGCAGCACTCTCGGAGCGAAAAGGTGAGTTAATCTTTGCAGTTTAATTTTTCTTAAATTTTGGAAATACTTGACTAGTCTGTAATTGCAGAATTTTTCGTTCCCCTTCAGTAATCTTTTTGTATGAAGACTACCACTTCCATTTCTGAAAATTGTTCATTTTTTTCCAATTCTTCCTACTGTCTTGGCTGACCTTACTTTCTGTTGATGAGCTAGGGCAGATAGTGCTGTAAGTAAGAAGATTTTAGTGGCTGTGAGAAATTGGATGTTTCTCCTTTACTCTGAGGACTGTACTTGCTTTTTTCCCAAAACAGTTTTATAATCCCATGTCTGTCTGTTTCAGCAGTTGAACTGTGATTCAGCTGCTCCTTCTCTCACTGTTGGTCTCTGTGTTTCAGGCTGTGACACGCTCATAGGAAGTCTATTTGATGTCCTTCTGGCATACCTGGAGAGTCCGAACACCAACCCTACTGTGAGTATAGAACTAAGGAGAGATCCAAGTTTATTAGCTTGCCCCAGTGCGATGTAGTTCTCAGAAATTGTCTGACAATAGTTGTTTTTCAGCACAGTTTGTATTAGAATATGTAGGAGAACTTGTCTCTGTTCTGGGTGGCTTGCAGGAAATAGCTAAAATCCTCATGAGCGAATAACTGACCAACGCGTGGAGTGTTCTTGAAAAGACAGGAGCCATCACGTCTAAGAATAGTGCCAACATACTCAACTTGACGTGGCCCTTAAGTATTGAATTCTTTGCATTAAGGGGTTTTCTTTTCTTGCTTTCTTTTGTTTGAATGACTCTGACAACTGCCAAACAAAAGCTGGAGGTACTAGAACATATTAATACTAAGCTGAGAACAGGCATTTTCTAGGTGTTTGTTAGAAATGTTATATCAGCGCCATTTATTTGTGGCTTGCTTCTTAGTAAGAAAGCATATGTACTTGTTTACTCTGAGAATTTCCATGTAAGTTTGAGGCTAAAACAAATTTTATCTAGCATAAAGGCACAATGCCTCCTCCTGCAGTAAAGTAAGTCTGCTTTATATTGCTTCAGGTTCTAAAGAAGACATTTCAAGCTACATCCAAGTGGTTGGTACGCTTGCAGGAACTGTCCTGCTCCAACAGTCAGTGGCAACAAATGGAGAAGATTTTGGAAGGTAATGAAGCTATTCAAGTTGGGACAAACAGCAGCTAGTGGCATATATGAAATCTGCTCTTGCCTACCTTTCAGGCTCAAACCGCTTAGGATTCATTTGTTCACAATTATGTTGAATTTAGGTTTAGCTGCCCAAATAGTGCTTTGAAGAACTCTGAGAAGCACGCAGCAGCAGCAAAAGGGATTCCATCAGATAAAATGATACAGAGGTTGTACAGTGATTGCTTCAGTAAGGCTTGTTGCCTTTTGTGTCCATTCAAGCTTGTCACTGGGCTTTTACAGATGTGTTTCTGCTGCTGCAGAAGCGTTTGTGCAGTCCTTGCTGGGAAGTAAGAGATTCTTCTCTGGAGTTCCTCACTGTCCTCATTAAATGCTTGAGAGGTAGGTGCAAAGGTTTAACAGCTCAGATTGGAGGAGTATTTCTTTTAATGTTATGAAAGTCAGTCAGGCTGGTGAACATCTGCTGACCTGTAACTGGAGGGCTATGAAAAGAAAGAAGTGTCAAGATTTTTACTCTTAGGTCATGATCAAAATCTGACAAAGAGATTAATAAACTTACCCTACTTTTCTGTTGAACTCAGATCGCTGTGCCTTTCTTAATTGCAGTTTTGGTGAGTTAAACTGAGGGGTGTTGAGACAGTCACGTATGTTGAGACATGTATGTCAAGGCAGGTGACAACACTTAATGGCAGATAATACTTTCCCTTTTTTCACTTTGCTCTGCAGTGGAGTCTGTCTGGTTTCACTCAGCAAGCTGGGGGCTGGGATTTAGGAGGCTAAAAGCCTAGGTGTGCTTTGCATGCTGTGGATTAATTACTGATTTTTCCACTTATAGCTCGGGTTTTGCAGCAGGTAGCACTAAGGCAATGTTAATTCTCCTACAGTAGCTCTGCGATACTAGATGAGAGGGGGATGTTGTAAAGTACTGTTGTCCCCAAGTCACAAAGGAAGTATCCAGAACACTCAGCTGCATTAGCAGTTTACCCTGCAGCCCCTCTCTGTGTTGCAGTTGCATTGTTTTTCTTTGCCATATGCCTTGACAGCAAGAAAGGAAGGCTATTTTTTCCTCTTTGAAGCAAAGGCATAAGTTTGATGAGGCTGAAACCATGTCCCCACTTGCCTGGAGGAAGTTTTTTCTTGCCACTGGAACATCTGTAAACGGGTTTTTCGAAGTTCCAGTGTCTAGCAGGGCTTGACTGAAAGTCACCAAACTGCTGGAAAACAGGGAGCCTGACACAGAGCATCTGTGCTCTTGTGAGCTGCTGCCTGGTCTCCGCAGTGGCTCAGCTCACTGGCAGCTGTCCCTACAGTCAGTGGGCATCCTTGTATGACGCAAAGAACTGTTTGCATTGGAAACAGCTTCGTGCTCGGAGAGAATAAAGCCTTACTTCTTTGGATTGCTGTCTTGTTTACAGACCAGGATGAGTTCAGGCAGTCTCTCCTGTCTTCAGAGGTGCTGAGGCTTACAGAAAATCTTCTTGAGGATCCAGAAAGCTATGTGCGAGCTAGTGCTGTGACTGCTATGGGACACTTGGCCTTCATTACCTACTTTGCTCCAGAGTCACCTGTCACAGGGAATCAGTATAATAAAGAGGTATGATGACTGTGTAGCCCACTGCAGAATCAAGCAGAACTACACATCAGTTTACTGCAGTACTACTTACAACTTTCTTCACGAGTTATCCACAGTCTCATGCAGGCAGATTTCACCACCAGTAATGAAAGGACTAGATTTCCTTCTGCTGTTCTTGTTTCTTTGCATGTTCCTCCCCTCGTTGTGATTTCTCTTTGTCTTTTTACATTCAGAACACTGTAGCAAAGCTTCAAGAAATCTTGTCAATGGACCCAGAGGGCTTTCCTAGGAGGGCTGTGATCAGCGTCTTCACCAAGTGGCTGAGACAAGGCTGCACAGGTCAGCTGGAAGATACAGAGCAGTTTGTCTCTAGAGTGATCCAAACTGTGGAGCATGACTTAGACTGGGAAGTCAGACTTGGTGGCTTGGAACTGGTTGAAATTTTCTGTAGTCAGACAATTTGCCAACTTGGCCTTTCTAAATGCCCATACGTTCCTGCCTTATCTGCAGTCACTAGTTCCAGTCATCGGAATGAGTCACTGCAGGTATTTTGCCGAACAAAACTGTTCAGCTTTTTATTTCGGTCTTTGTGTGACTGTGACAAACCAGTAGGTCAGAGAGCCTGTGATATACTGCTTGTCTTAAGAGGTAATTTCTATCCAGTTAGTACCCTGAAGGATTCACAAGTGACTGGAGATTCACCTGCAGGACATGGCATTGCCTGGTTACAAAGGACACTAAGGCAGGGTTCTCTGGCCCAGAACTTCCCCACAGATGATGGTGATGGGGTGGATTTTCAAGATCCAGAGAGCATGATGCTAGCTTTGGGTACAATAGACTTAGAAGAGCTACATGATGAGCTAAATAAAAGTAGTGACCATGTGGAAAAAAGCCCTCAGTCCCTCTTACAAGACATCCTTGCTACCGTGGGGACCATAGAGGAAAATGAAGCTGACTGTTACTGAAGACCTCTTTTGCTCTGAGGATGCAGTGCATAGGCAGTTTTCTTCTGGAGGAGAATGTTTTGCTACCAGTCACAAAGTCCTTCTGTTGAGAGAGGATAAAAAGAAGTGTTATGCTGAACAGAGAAAAGGATGGTCTTGTTAGCTGTTAAGTGGGTTGGTTAGAAAATCTTTAACAAAAAATTAATCAGTATTAAAGTGTAGTCTCCAATAAACTCTGATTTGTTTTTCAAAGTAACACATTAAGAAATGCATTTGTTCTTAAGTTCTGTGTCTTCTAAGAAAGCACCAAACCATGCCTACATAAGGAAACATTTTTAAAAAACAAAACAGTGACTGAAAACAAGTTGTTGCATGCTCCTTTTAGAGCCAGAGTAACTAGAACTGATGAAGACTGGTTTTAAGGGACACTTGTTTTGACCTTGTCTATATCTCCATTCTAAAAACAGAGTTCTCAAGTTCCCTGTTGCATTTTGAGGTCTAGAGCAGAAGGTGGCATTTAAGGAGTCAAAAGCTGTTTATCCTTAACATTACAAACTTTCTTCTATAGAAAACATACTTGTTTGATCTCAGCAGTGACATGAAAAGGCTGACTTTGTTTTTAATTGAAGCCAGAAGCAAGTCCATTTTGCTGAATTTTTCCAAGGCTCCTATTCTCTGTTCCTAACGAACGGGAATAGCTTCTATAGCTAGTAAGAGAAACTGACACCTGCAGCTTTTTCATGATAAAAATAGATCTGTGCTTAGCTTTGGTAAATTATTAGAAAACAACAGCCATAGTGTAAATAGCAACACTGTTTTCTGAGAAGAAATTGCTTTTTTTTTTAACAACTTGGGGGAGACTGTATTTTGCAGCTTACTCCAATGTCCTGCCACATGCTAAGAAACTTTCTGAAACCTAGGAAACAAAGAAGTACCTTTACCAAGGTAGGTCAAGCCATGATGTATTCCTTTCCAGTGCTGTTACTTACCATCCTTTATCCTCCGGCAGTCTATGTAGAGGCAGGAACACAACACTCATTTTAGGGTCATGGGGACTAAATCATCTAATGCAGTGGAAGAACTTCTACAATCTCCTCCTTCAATATTATCCCTGCAACAGTACAGTCAGGGGGGATGTAGTTTGAATTTCTTGCTGCTGAGGCTGAAAGTTTACTCTATGCCTTTTAATGAAGTCAGCACACTTAACTTATCGCTCTGTGCACAGCTTTATGTATGGCAGAGCCCTCAGGTGTTGTACCAGCAGCTGTTACTAAGAAAGCAGCTCTGCTGCCGATACACAATTCTACCTGAGCACTGTCTACACCTGGAAAAAAAGGTACTAAAAATCAGGCCTTTTCCTGCTGCTGCATTGGTCTCAGAAATTCAAAGGGTTAGGGAGAGAGGAGATTTGCTTTTGAAGAAGTGTGGATTGTTTGTGGAGTTTTAGCAATCCTGTCTGGTGAAGGGATTACAGTTCCAAAACTAATGTTACATGTTCACAATAGGTCATACATGCTCCACAAAAGGAGACAGCAGGTCCCATTCAGCACTAGAATTCTTGTGATTTCAGGATTGTGCAGTTCAGGAGACTCCAAGGAATTATTCAAATATCAGCAAATTGAAAAAGTGACTTGATACAGAACAGAAACTCCACTGCTTATTACCAAGGTCTCTTGACTCCCAGACCTATTAATTTTTAATGGCACTTTTTTCTTTTTATATCAGCTGGGCTGATTTGTTAAGTTTATACCATTTGCCTAATTGCAGTCCAAAGTCTTGTTTATATACAGGATACTTGTACACAAAAACCCCAATGTACAATGAACTGGGAGAGCTCCTTATCTTTAGAAGGGGAATTAAGGACTCCTTTCATCTTTCATTAAAAACAGGTCTCCACCTCCAGCAATTAGGTGACTCAGTGCTGATATTGTACTTCTCTCTTCTGAGCTCACTACATCACCTTACTTTGTTCTCTCTGCTGCTCCAGTTACAATAAGAGACTCATTAACACAGATTCTTGGACTGACATCTTGCACCTGATAATTGGGAGCAACAGGAAGAGTCGTGAACATCTGAGCAGCGTGAGGAACAGAGAGATTATGGGAGATGAAAGCAAAAGAAAAATCTCATGTTTCTTTCCATAGAAAGTGATGGCAGTGGGTCTTGCGAGATGAAAATTTAGCTACTGAATTAGTAAATACACACCAACAACTACTCATGTGAAACATCCATCATGCTGGGAAGCCATACCTTCTATAGGATGCCCATCTTTGCACACTGTTAAGAACTCGCATGCAGGCTCTACCCCACTTACACTACTAACTCATTTCCAACCCACTTCTTACCTACCAAAGCTTTTTTTGCACCTCCACAAGATCCTATCCCAGCCACACAGCTTTCTTCTGGGTTAAGAATTTTTACCACATGGTATGCCTTGCCAAGGCGCTGCGGTCATGGTGGACCTAGGGAGAGGGTTTAACTCTCAAGGAGACAGTTCGAGAAGCAGACTCGTTACCCCCACGTGCATATTAAGAATTTACTTCAACAAGTGCTATTGCTACTTACCACTTCACAATGCGACAACAGTGGTCCCTCCAGAAACTGTACACACCCAGCTCGCTCCTGTCACCCGCTGAGGACTCCAATAACGTAGAGAAGGACGTGGGCTGCCTGGCCTTCTGTTATGGACACAGGAGAAAGTTCAAGGCTCTTTTTGGGATGCATTTCTGTGGAGACTGCTGCTTTCACACTGTCAGCACTGCAGCTGTGTACAGTTCCTGCAGGAGGCAGGCACCACCGAGAGTTTTTCCAACACACACACACTCTACAGCTGATTCAGCAAAGGCTGTGGCCAGACACGGGCCTCGTTTCATGCAAGAAGCACCAAGGCGCAGGACTGTCCTTGGCTTTAATGCGGGCTGTGGATAGCAGGCAGTAGCAATACAAGTGGTATCAACACAGAACATGACAAATTAGAAAAATGTATGCCTGCAATGGCTGGTACTGCGAAAGAAGATTCCAAAGCTCATTTCAGCTCTTTATTTGCACAGGGGCAATGCAAGTTCTGTTGCCTGGTCTGTGTGCAGGTATGAAATTCCTAGAGTTGCTTTCAACGCATTTCAGCGAAGCTCTGAGGAAAGGATTTCTCCTTTAACTGCTCAGACTCAAACGCAGGAGAGAATAAGCGTCTTTGGCTCAGCCCTACACTAGTAACAGCTCTATAAAAGCTGCCAAAAGAACGGCTGTTAATTTTCTGTTTTAATACACTGGACATTTAAAATTGAAAGATTATTCTTTGCCTAATTATACTAATTGCACAGCTTAGTCAAAAATGGGCCATAAATGTCTAAAGCTGTTTCTTTAGCTTAGATATATGTGATCTGTGATTACAGATCAACTCATGCATATCTTTGCAATTTCTTTTGTCCACCTCTAATAAAATTTGCTCTACCTTTCAATACACGTTCATCAAGGCTTCTAAAACCCACCACGTGTTAAAGAGGAAACCCATCAACCTTCTCATCACTGAGAAGTTCTCAGCAATTTACAATGGAAAAATATATCAGTAGCAACACCTCTGTTGATGCGTCATTTGCCTTTAGAGCAGCAGTTTCTGTCTCCTGCTGAGAAATAAAGCACCACTTACCACAGCCAGACCTCAGCCTGCATCAGACGCACTCCTCCACAGACAGGACAGGTCTTGCCTATAAACCTTCCACGCCAGAACACAGAGAAATGGAAGGACTTACCTTCAAAAGAAGAAGGGTGTCTGTCTGAACAAGGTGGAACAAAGCCGGTGATGTACAGCTGTAATGAAAGCACTCGGGGCTCTGCAAACACACGTCATGGATATGCTCGTAACTTGTCCCCAGATGGAAGGGGAAATGAGCAGTCTGCATCGAGTCTCTGCAATACCACAAGTGCAATTACACAACTGTCTCAGTGAAAGCAAAATGAAACTAAAGAAAACAGTTTTTCTATCCGCAATACCGATACCATGTCTCTGCTTAGAGCACAGCAGCTTAATGTGTTGAAGGGCTGTATATACCTTAAACATAGAACAGGGCTGCAAAGATGCCTTTCACGTGGCTGCCTCCAAACCAACCCATCCAACCAAATTACTCCCCAACTTCTGCAGTTGCCCAGTTGTTAAACTCCATGCAAGGGCAGGAATATGCTGTCTGGGACCGGGAGTGCACCCACTCCTTTGAGGACATTGCCTGATTAGACCAGATCAGGTATAAAGTGAAGCCACAACCTTAAACAGCTCCTATAGAGCATTAGGGCTTGAACCATGGTAGGACTGCCCCTTTTCACTCCTTTTCAGTGCAAGATAGGTGGGAATTACCCTTAAGAGATAGATATACTTTCAGATCTTCAGTTCTCCCATTTCATTACCTTTTGGTCTTCATATTTCCAGTCTCTATTGACCCCATCTTCCCTGAGCTTTCAGGCTGGCTCAGTAGAAGGGAGCTTGTGCGGCTGTGCATAGGGACCTCAAGGCTTGCCTCAGCTGGTCCCTCACCACCACCCCCGTGCTCAGGGGGGTGATGTTGCAGCCACACTCCGAGCTTTGGCCTTGGACCAGCTTCTGGGCTGGGCTGTGACCAGCACGAAGGAGCTGCACAGCCTGGTCTGGCAGATGGTGAATCCAAGCTGTACATCTTGAAACACAACTTGACCCAGCCAAACCAGTTCCAAAATAAACCCTTATTAAGCTGTGTTACTCGATTTAGCCCTTATATAGGCTGGGCAGGAGCACAGGTGAGCCCTGGAGCCCATCGCTCTCACAAACACCCTTGATGGGACTGATCTCATGATTACAACTCTCATTACGTGCCAACAGCAAAAAGCTGCAGTTAAAACACAAATGGCAATGGTTGCTAAGTGACGGCATCCATACAGGCTTCTCACAGCCGTGACACCAACAGCTGTGGCTGCACGACAATCCCATCTTGTCCATGTAATTGAGGATAAAAATGTTGTTTTCATTACCATCTAGTAACCTTAACTTTGACCTG